ACCGAACACTATTCACTTTATAATGTTGGGAATGAGGTCCGTCCAGTTATGAACAAGTTGCACGACTCAAAAGATAATAACGATGAAATTTCCAATCATAAAACGAAACGAGAGAGTAATTTTAATAGAACTCAAAATATAAAAATTTTTTGATCAAAAAAATGACATTAATACAAATGATAACTTCATCAATGTAGTTAGTAATTATAGAATTTATCTTTAATATTCAGAAACGCGTTCAGAAAATTAAATGATTCACATGATTAATATTCATACTTTTAGAGGGGAGGAAAAAATAGCTAACAATTCGCCTAAAGACGAAATCGATTGAACTCACCAGGAATAAGATAGTCCCAACTCATACACTTAAAGGTATTACATACAGCAAGACCGAAAATAGAAAGATTAACTATAATCTAAAATCGGAGGGTTTAACTATGGCTAATATTAATCTTAAAATGTTCAGAGGGTTTCAATCCGAAGAATCAAATGATGGGTATTCAATGATATTTAAATATTTTAGAGTTGAATTGTTCAGGTAATATGGAATGTAAAGCGGATCATTTACGCTCACGTCTGACGGAACCCCGTCTCTCCACTGCGCAGCAAGTGGAGGTTCAATGCTAAATGACTTAATCTTCCCGGGTTCTATTAGTTGTACCAATTCCACATCTATTGGGTATACAACATTTGCAAGTTCACGTAAAAGCAGCCAAGCACCAATGAATGAGACAGCGTATGCATGTGTGCAAGACGGCCGTGTCGAAATGTATAGATTTGGATGGTTATATGGTTCTCGTAAATTTTCTTGACTACAATGACCAATATAAAGCATCTCCCAGTATCTAGGAAGATGTTGCGTTATAACTCGTAGTTGTTCTTCGATATCCATCTCCATGTCTATATCGTCTTCGAATATAAGTGCATTTTGTAATCGGTTATCAACAATCGTTTGATATACCTTTAAATGACTTAACCAACAAGCAATTGCAGCTCTGTGCAAAGTTCCATTGGTTTGTTGATAGTATGTTTCTACTTCGTTCGAGTCGGCATCGATAGCGGGGAAAAAAGTATAATCAAGGTTAAGTTGTTTAAACAATTTTGTCATTCGTTCCTTTCGATCATCTCGGCGTTCGAGATGTATCACATATATTTTGTCAAAGAACAAAGACTTATTCAGTTTTTCTTCAACTCGTTGGCAAGTTTCAGGTTTATTCTCTATGTCATTGTTTCCTTGTAAGGGATAGAGGACAATGTAAAATAAGGTGCTTATGGAAGCCGTTAATAACAACGCAAACAAAAATACTTTGGCCGTCAATATGGTCATCTTTGGATACAATTTTAAATACAAATTGGCATAATTTATATCTTTTCAGATATTGGGGTGTATTACATGAAATTTCCTTTTATTTTCTTGAAATCAATCATAAAAGGCAAACTTACAAGTACATTTAATTTTTAATTTGGGCGTATGTACTGTACATAATATCATTCGTGTAACGTTGTGTAATATTGGCTTAGAAATGGGCTTAAAACTAGGAAACGGACATAGTTAAATCGGTAATGATCGGCAGCTACACACAGCGTTGGCCATATTTATAATAATTATAATAAATCGATTGTAATTTCTATTTGTATACGGGTGTATTGTACACGGATCACGTGATACGTCCGACATTAACATTACTTTTAAATCAAAAAAAAAAAAAATTATAAAAAGGAAAAAATTTAAAATTTATCAATTTTAATTATAAATTTAACAAAAATTTAATAATAAATTTTATTAATTTATAATTATAAATGAATTCTTTAATAAATTTTATAAGAAATATTATCCCTTAAACTATAAGTATAAAATTGTTTTTAAAACATTTTAGAAACTTAAAATAATTTGATAAGGAATTAGCATTCTAGTTCAGTTGTAATAACTGAGCTTTTATTGTGATAGCCATAAGTTCAGACCTCAGCCAAGGCATAAAAACTAAATGATTTTCATAAAAATTTTATATGTATACTAATATACGTTAGAAACTGGTAGATCGATTAATTGATCTATATTGATCATGCTTAAATACTGAGTTTGAAGAACAAGTGGATGCAAATGAAGCCAGGGATCAACAGAAACTTGACTGTCACTGATAGGTCTATAATAGATACTATCTCACGTCTTCAAACTCAAGGCCTTTATATAAGTAAAAAAGTAGTTAACCAGTAATTTATAGATATAGAGTATACTACAGACTGACTTGCATATCACAGCTGTGAGTCAAATCTTGTTATTATTAAAGTTAGAGGCTAGGTTTGATTCTTAGATGAGTTTGACACTATAAGTATAAAGCTACTATCATAAAAGAACCTGATTCTTTGATTTCAGTAGTTATTAATAAGGTAAAATCCTATATATATTAGCAAAAACAGTGCATCAATTATTGTAGTTGAAGTGAGCCCTCTATCTAATTCTGTTAATCTAAGTAGAAGTTAGTTGATACAGAATTTGGAATTAAAGTCAGTGACTATTAGACTATAATACTGATGGTAACCTGTGCTATATAGATGTATATAATGAGATTGTACAGTATTTATTCACATGAGATCTAAAGATTATGGGCAGAATATTTGCTACTGAGAATCTGCTTTAACCCATCTTTTAGTGTATACGCAACTCTAAAAAAAAAATAATTTAATATCTAATAATAATAAAAAAATAAAATAAAATTTTTAGATTTATCATATTATGATGTATCTAATGGTAATATTTTTAAACTTTTAAAATTCATAATTATCAATATATATTATGTTTTTAATTTTTAAAAATAATATATTATTTAATAATTACAAAAATATAAAATTTAATTTATTAGATCTTTTTATAAAAAGAATTAATCTATAAAAAATTTTTTTGTATTTGTTAAATATAATGCTTAAATTATAGGTTTTTAAAAATTTATATATTTATAATCTTATTGTAATATAATTAATAACTAAATCTTTTTTTCTTTTTTTAATAATTAAACTATAAATGATCTTCTATTTTAGAATAAAAGCTTTTTTTCTAAAATTTCAATTCATTTTATTTATTTATTTTTCTTCTTTTATTTTTTAATAACATTTTTTTTATTTTTTTAAATATATTTAATATCTATTAATTTTTTTCATTAAATTATTTTATTTCTAGTTTTTGTATTATTTATTAAATATTTTTTAAAATCTTAAATATTAAAATATAAATAAAAGAGTATGAAAATAAGAAAGTTAAAGATTAAAAAATAAAAAATCAAAATCAAAATTAAACACTTTATCAATTTTATCAATCAAATAACTATAAAATTAAATTTAAGATTTTATTTAATTAATTTAATATTAAAATAATTTATTAATGAACTCTATTTATTATATAAATTAGATATAAATAAAATATGTTAAATTTATTAAATTTTAATTATTATAAAATATTCTATAAAAGTATATTCACTTTTTTAACTAAAATTATTTTATTAAATGCTAATAGCTAATATTTTTAGTTAACAATTAATTTAACTAATATTTATTTCACTTAATGAATATTTTACTAATATTACTAATTTATCAAAAATTAACAGCATATTTTAATTGTTTAATTAAATTATAAATATTAGTCAAAATGTTTAAATTAGCTAGAATATAGTAGCTTATTTTAGGTTAGTTTTAATATTATTTATAGCCAATTTGCTATATTTTCTGATTAGCATAAATATATTTTAATCGATGCTAATTGATACTAATTGAACATAGCTAGTCAATATTAATTTAAATTTAATTTTAATCATAAATTAGTCTAAAATTAACCTTAATTTAGCATCAATCCAGAACTTAAATAACTATAAATCAGCCTAAAATTAATATCAATTCAGCATCAATTTAGTCAAATAAACATATAAAAATAATATTATTTTATTTATTAAATTTATTAAATATTAATAATAAAATCTAATATAAATTTGCAAAAATATAACAATAATATATTAAAACTACTGATTAATTTTCTATTAAATAGATAAGCAAAAAATAAAAAAACTATATAAAATAATAATATAATAATAAAATATAATCTATTTTCTTTCAAAATCCTTTAAAATTATTCTATATATTTATTATTATAATAATATTATTATTAAAAAAGAATAAATAAATAAATTTATAATCTATTTTCTTTTAAAATCTTTAAAATTATCTAAAAAATGTAAAAAATAATAAATAAATAATAAAAAATAAAAAAATTTACCCTTTTCCACCAAATTATTTGAATTTTTTTTATTATAAAAAGTAAAAATCAGCTTATTATTTAAAAAGTTGACTAAAATTAATAAAATTTAACTTAAATTTTATCTGGTTTAAATAATTGAAGGTGATTTATAGTTTTATTTTTATTATAAAAGGTAAAAAAAATCAGTTTATTATTTGAAAAAGTGACAGTTTAATTAATAAAATTTAACTTAAATTCTTTTTGTTCTTAGAAAGATTTTTTTTAGTATTTTGATGATATGTAAAAAAGAGAAAATTTAAAAGTAATTTAAAAGATAAAGTTGAAATTGAAATAATTTTTAAAATTAAGCTTATTTATATAAATATTCTTAATATGAAGGCTAAGCTATTAAAATCACCTTATGGGACCTTACTAACTAAAATTGAGATTTTTGATTCATATTATTATATGATATATGAACTTTATTTGGTTAAATTTTTATAGTCGATTA